CAGGGTGAGTGAAGGCACATCACACCCTCTGATGTCATGAGGTGGTGAGGAGACAGTCGGCTGTGGGCTGGAACAAAAGAATAAAGTCAATTCCTGAAAGTCTTTTACTGGAACGCTGCAGTAAACAGCCTGCAAACTGTCCATCGAGGTCTCTGTGTCATTTCGCCATTAAGTAGTTCAAACCGTGCTGAAGATTTTGGTGCTAAGGTCAGAGGCCTAGACAGGGAGGGGGCCAGAGGTGGCCAGGGCCACCCCAACATGAATTCCAATCACCCCAATCATGGACAGTCAGCCGTCATCAATCAGACATCATTAATGAAGCACGAATTACGACTGATGGTGAAAATCTGCCGTCAGGGTAGTTACCAACCAGTTATGAGAGTTTGATGATGATGCGTTTAATAATTAGTCTTGCTGTGATTGGCTAAGTGAATGAATAAGGTGCGTCATGAGCATGAATATGAATTCAGTTATTCATATTCATGCTCTCTCTACATTTTCTAGATGAGTCTAATGATGTGAACGCTGGCCAGACAGCACATAAGGGAACCTACAACACATGCATGACCTTAAGTGATTAATTCATCTTACCATGTCATAGCAACTGCATAATACAGCTTACAGTGCAGCACTGCTGAAGAACCCAGCGCACATTCTCTCACCTGTTTGCTGAGCCAATTAGTATTCATACTTGTACACTCCTAAAAAGACGGTTCTTCAAGGGTTCTTTAGTAAAAGAAATGGTTTAGTATAGGGTGTCACAATTTCTGTTGAGATAGAGGGGTGGGGTGAAGTGTTAGGGCTTCATGGTCAGAGACTTACTCCAAACGGAGTGTTATAAAAAATAAAGGGCAAGAAAGCGACCAAAGAAACCCACAAATGTGAGTATGTTCTCCGTTAAAAATGATGATAACCATTGTATTATCTTAGTTTAATGTCATTTCAGTGTATTATGGTCGTTTTCTTCATAACAAGCATAAAAAATCACTAATAGCATGCTAGCTAGCTAACTTAAATAGTCCAGCAGTTCTGACGCCTGAAGCACCAGAATGTAACTGCTGCACCATTTAAGGTGGAACGGGAAAATTCGAACAAGAAGCTGGAGAATATCTGAGTTCAGCTTCACATCACTGAAGAATTAGGGGTGGATGATAATAAATAATTATCTTATACCCCCTCTTTGAAGGCATATGTGTCCCTAAATGTTGCTGAAGCCCAGCAGTGAGTAGCTGAACTTTACCCTCCTCTGCTGTCACTGCAGACTGGCAGGGTCGCCTACAGAGCAGCGCTAGTAGCTGTTAATGAAGTGATGCTCTTTTTATTTGAGGGTCCCATTTCAGACGGAAGATTTCAACCACTACCCTGTAACTCAGTTCCAAGGGGTTAGAGTGACACTCGAAAACAAGGGGTAGGGGTAAAAAGAAGAAATGGGATTGGGTCTTGGTGTCGGACAACACTTAAGGCACCGATGGCACTGGTCACCCCTTGACTAGGCCTCTGACCTTCGCACCAAAATCTTCAGCACTAAGAAATGGCGAAATGACGCCGAGAACTCGACCAACAGTTTGCAGGCTGTTTACTGCAGCGTTCCTGTAAAAGACGTAAAGGAATTGATTTTATTCTTTTGTTTTCAGCCCGCAGGAGACTGTCTCCTTATCTCCCCTTGACATCAGTGGATGTGATGTGCCTTCACTCACCCTGTGTTATCATCCTTTCTGCAAGTTCTTTGTCTTGTTGTGTAAGTCATTTTAAAGACTCACCCCACAGTGCAGCTTGCTCAGTTCAATTGCTTGCAGGGTTAGTGTGCATGAGAGTAAACACACCTACTGTTTAAAATGACATGGCGCGTACTCACCTTTTTTAAAAACATTTCTCAGATAAACCAAGCTAAAAACTCAAGCCTGTCCTTTCTGAAGGTCATGTGGTCACCTTCCCAATGACTGATAATGGTCTGCAGCCCTGTACAGTCAGACCGAGTTCATCGATCATGACTCATTAATGTAAGCTCTTCACATTTTGTAATGCTTTCAGTGGCATTCGAGTTGCCGGCCCCCCGATCCCTGGAAGCCCTGACGTAGCTTGTTTTTTTAACCTGTGTGGAGTACAAAATGGCGAGTAAAACTGTTGTTGCATACTATTATTTAACATGTGTGTATCATTAACCCTTAAATAGACAGAAATTTTTATTAATCCCTTCCAAACAGATCATGTACTTTGTACTGATGTTCAGTAGTTACTGAATAATAAACCTTAGTATGTAATAAGCCTGGGATTTTAAGAGGTTCAATTGGTTGATCCTAAAATAAACCACACTGTGCAAAATGCGGCTTCTCAGAATGTTGTATAATTTGTAGAACTGATACATAAATATAATTTTGAAAGTTTTTTGTGTAATCTGTAAGCGCCATATTCAAAATATATGTGCAATATGTGATGTCTTTGCACCAAAATTCCAAGTGTAGAGAAATATATGTACGTATATTTCTTCACATCCAGAATACATATCGCTGCTGTCTGGACAAAACCACGTATCTCCATTTTTGGTGTTTTTCAGTTTTTGTCCTATTTTGAAAATGCCTGTTGTTCTTTAGATTGTTCGTAAATTTCATGATGAATGGGCCAAAAGAAACAGTCAAAAATGACTTGGTAAAAATGTCTGGTTCCATTGTCTTACACTGAAAGTAAAGCATGTTTTTGCTTCTCCTGTAAAGTTACCATTTTGGAGCTACGGGGTTTTGTTCCGACAACAGCGATATGAAATTTATGCAAATATATGTGACGCCTTTTGCTGCAAAATTCCATTCAAAGTTTTATGTTATGAGCTTTAATTTGGATAAATCCTTTAACTAAAAAAGTGTACTAACCTGTCACTGGGGCAGTCCCCCTCTTGTTACTTAGTCAGGGAACATAACTGAACCATAATCCACTGAAATGATATGTTCTAAGCTGTACTGACTCCACACACCCCGTCTCGTCTCCAGGCTTTTATTTTACTGTTCTGTTTTAAAACATTCTGTTATGAAAAGGTACAAATACGAACTTTTCACCTGGAAAAACTTATTTAAGGTTCACAATCAGACCTTAAAACCACTGTTGTACCTTTGAGGGAACATTTACACTGTTTGTACCTTGATGAATGAAAAATGTACCTGAACAGAACCTTTATTTCTAACAGTGCAGACAGTATAGTGGTTAACATTCATGTGCCTCACTTCAGACAGGAACTCATTTCATAGCATTTAAATATATGCCAATATAGTGACATGTGTAAATTTATTCATATCAATGCACAGACATGTTGGTTAAATTTAGGTAATAACATCATTAAAAAATGTGTAAATATATGTAAACCAAATAAAAACACTTAGTAATGATCATATGAAACTGACCAGTCAAGCTGTGCTGCACATTTCAAAACTCAAGAGTCTTAAAAGAATGTTCCTGAACAATGACACATTCGTTTGGCTGCTTCTGTTTCTATAGGATGCCTAAGTGGTCAGGTTTGCACCTTGTTTACTGTCCTTGAGTCATCATGAGCTACATGACAGGATGCAGGGAAAAGTTTTGAGGCACACCCTAAAACATTTGCCTGGAATTCCACTGACCTGCCACCTTTACAGTGGTGCTGACGTTTCCATGGTTGCAAGGCTAGACTGTAAGAATGCTGAAGAACAGAAAACGGAGACATGAAAAGCTCAGAGCTGCTAAAACTGTTTAGAGGGCGTCTGGGTGCGGCTGTATGTCTGAGTCACTGGCCACTTTATTAGAAACACCCACATAGTGCTTCTATACACTGGCCACTTTATTACAAGCACCTACCTTGTATTTCCACTCACTGGCCACTTTATTAGAAACACCTACCTTGTACCTCCACTAACTGGCCACTTTATTAGAAACACATACCTTGTGCTTTCACTCACTGGCCATTTTATTAGAAACACCCACCTCATACTTCCACTCACTGGCCATTTTATTAGAAACACCTACCTTGTGCTTTCACTAACTGGACACTGTAGCATGTTTTACTAGCCCCGCCATGTGGGGGCAGCACTATAGCCTGACTAGCTCTCACTGTGAGTTTACATGCTTTGAAAAGGTTGCAATATTACAGCAAAAATAGGGAGATTAAAATGATACGGCTTTCAATTCTGTGATTACAAAACCTTTCTTTTTAAAACACATTTATGACAGACATGGGTGTCATGGCCAGTCGACATGTGCTAAACCAACTACCATGTGATGTGACATCATAAATGATATCCATGTTCATTGATAGGAAGGCCTAGAACTAAAGGTGGGCAATATTTTATCGTTATCGTGATAAATTCATGGATATTGTCAGTACATTAAGAACACTGACTTAATTGGTCCTGTTTAATTGGATTTAATGCAGTGCAGTTTGTGAAAAGCTGAAGCAAAATCAGTGCTGAGTATTTATGGCTGTTTTTAAATGTGCGTTGTGTCAAAATATCATGATATGTATCGTGTATCCTTAAAACGTCCTGAGATATTGTGATATTATATTTTTGTCATATTGCCCACCTCTACATAGGACCATATGTTATTTATTCATGTATTATTAAGGAGGTATTTAATTATAATAATAATAGTAAGCAATTCTAGGTAGCTTATTAATGAGGACCTATTTATTATTATGAATATCAGATTCCTTTTTAAGCCATTTATGCAGCCCAGTTAATTTCCAAAGAGTTCAAAACTTTCTTCCCACAATAATAAACAAACACAAATATATAATATAATATAATATAATATAATATAATATAATATAATACCACCATAAGTTTAAGTTTCTTAGTCATCATAAGTTGCGTAACCAGTATTTTTTGATCTGACATCACAAAAAGTCTCTTAATGTATGTGGGGGGTGGATATTAAGAAGAAGCAATGTAGATTTGAATAAAAGAATGAATAATGAATGTATTAAATTAAAGGCCAGCAACAATAAAATAAATCATAAATAAAAGTCTCATGTCTATGTAACCCACTTAAAGTGAAGGTTTATTTTCATTTCATGTTTGTGCTGCACTTAAGGTATAGATGTTGCAGTTCTTGAAATTTCCTGTAGAGGGCGCTTTAAGATAGTCTGAGCCACCTGGGAGAACTGGTCCAAACCAGTTTTAGAAAAGAAAAAAAAAAACAACGAACGAAACCACTTGCAGCTTAGCTTTGAATTTACTACTCTTCACAGCATTGAATTTATTGACCTAGAGTACGGATTTACAGATATTAAGACTAGAACTGAGCCATATTTTACTTCTTTCACTCTGTAAAGGTGAAATTATTCATCAATGTCTTTTGCTGTCGATTATTTCCCCTTTTAATGAGCAACTCCGGTGAGTTAAACTCATTTTTTCTCATGCTAGTCCGTGTGAGTTAGCATGTTATGCTGCTGACTATAAAAGAGTAGGGTGAAAACTGTTCGAACGGTTTATTATTAGAAAGCAAGAAAGAAAAAAAAGCCAGTTGGAGTTGTGATTGTACTATGTTTTGGTTTTGTAAATGATTTCAGATTAATGTTTTATAAGTATTCTTTGGAAAGCAGAATGCTAGCGCTCAGATTTGTTAAGAGCAAACTACGTAGTTAAATTTGTCTGTACTGTAATTCGACGCCTAACGTACAAATTTACTACAGGAATTGAATATTTTCAGCTGTAAGGTCTTTAGAATTGATATTGAAGGAATTCGTAAGATGTTCATAGTAGAATGTTCAATAAGTAAAGCATTTTTTCACTGTATAGAAGCAAATTGTTTGCTATTCACAGAATCTTCTGTAGTGAATCTACATAAGAATTACTTGTTGAGAAGTTGAGTAGTAATGGTTGTATTTTTTTTTATGTAGATTGGTTTTTTTTTCTTGCATTGAGTTTGGATCTTTCAAGCACGCACGCGCGTCAGACTGTGAGTGAGACCAGAACGGCGAGCCAGGACCACGTGTTGAAAGCCGTCTGCCCTGCGTGTTGTTCCTTCACGGACAGGGACAGAACAGGAGAAACAGATAAGCTTTTCTTTACGAACTGATTGAGATTCATCCCCAAGAAAAGAAAAGAAAAGAAGCGGCATACACGCATATTCACATAAAAGCTGCAGTCTTGAGCTTCAGATTTTAATTCAGAGACAGTGACCCTGAAGAGCTCTTAAGTTTTTTTTTGGGCCCATTTTCTTTATTTTTTTTGTTTGTGTAACTATTTGTTTCCTTGTTTTGTATATGCCTGTTGAGCTAACAATATATTCATTTTTGTTATTTTCTTCCAAGCCTTTGTCGCATCTCATTCTTTCCATTCTCCTCGTTTCGAACCTAGCAAACATGACCCAAGTGGATTTCTCCATACCAGTGAGAGGGTTACATCTACATTAACAAAACACCCAGAAACACTTAACCAAAGACCAAAAAGACTGAAATATGACAGAAATATAAAAAATTATACGTGAACACACATGTAAATGGGTTCAAACCTTGCTTGCTTTTTTATTTTTTATTATATAATAAAGGCTGAGGCCTAAAAATCAAGCCATGCAGTGCGGCAAGATATATTTTGTTCAGTTCAGTCAACAAACCTGTGGCCGACACGGCTCTCTGAAGTGCCCCTGATGACGGTGGTAGCCTGCAGCGGTTGGTCAGGGCCTGAACGACCTCCACAAAGTACCTTTCACCCAGTTCCACAACATGGAGGAAGGCAAGCATTTCCAAAAACACTCACCCTGCAAACACTTACAGTGTTTGGTAATGAAATACAAACATACCAGAGGCCTCACAGAGACACTAACACTAAAGAAGCACATCGTCCAAAGGAAAACAAGCCTCTCCAAAATAGCAGCTTTATAGGAGAGGACAAAAATGCTACTTTTAATGTAAGTTAATGCAAAGACGTTTTATTCCAAGCAAATTTGCAGCATTTCTGTTCGTCCATTCATTCATAAAATCTTTACACAACAAAAAGGGCAGCTGCTGAGCTCATATGATGTAGAAAAATGGAAACCGACAGCGACCATATACTTAAATCTTAAATTGATAACAAATAGTACAACTGTAAATCAGAGTGATATGCATCTACACTGAATGTAGCACTTTCTCCAAGAGCTCAGAGATGTTCTTTGAAGTCAGGCTGATCTTAGTTCATGTTTGGTCATGTTAACCCCTTAAAATTAGGCTTATTACATACTAAGGCTTATTATTCAGTAACTACAGGGACTTCAATGCAAAGTGGCTGAGCTATTCTTAAGTTATAGAAGTGTGTAATAAACTTTGGGCCTGCTGGTCATTTAAGGGGTCAATAATGATTCACCACAGCATTTCATTTAAGCAACTACATTCTTGTTTTCCTGCTGTCTTTTCAGTCAAAATGCAAAGGCTGTCCTCAGAAATGTCTTGTGATTTTGATTACATCACTGTGCACAGTTGGCAGAATAGGGATGCGCAATTGTAAATGGTCATGGTAAGAATAGGCAGATTTTTGCAATTGGCCAATTTATCGCTTATTGTGGGTGCGGTACATCATGTGAGGCAATCACTTTAATCATATGCTGCTGCTACACCTGCACCAAAACATCGTAGCATAATTATGGATGACTAAACACACTCTTACTTACAATCTAGCAGCTTATTTGATTCATCTCATTTAAATAGGCAGATGAAAAATGCCACAATTAAAATGTCACTTGCCTAAAGAGCCAATAATGTTATTTGGCTAATAAAGAGTTTACATTTATGGCATCTGGCAGATGCTCTTATCTAGAACATATTATCTATTTGATCATTTGGGAGTTCAGACCATTCCTTCAACATGGTGGTGGTAGTATGAGGGAAGATGAGAACTCTGAGAACTTGGGCTGTAGTTCTGGGCAGCTTCTGCCTTTCGCTAGAAGGCCATACCCCCTCATAGCTGCAGTAGGACTGATGCAGGACTGAGGAACAGGGAGGAGATGGGTTGGGAAACTTTCGTCACAGGAACGGAAGGTGAGGATGTGAATTTATAGGGCATTAGATTGGAAGAAGGAGGGGTTTCATTCATGTTCCTCCCCCAAACTTCAGTTATAACGTAACTATAATTTTACACAGGTGGTTGAAGGTAGTGTTAGGAGTCTTGCCCAAGGACTCTTATTGGTATAGTGGAGGGTGCTTACCCAGATGGGAGATTGAACCCCAGTCTAAAGCATAGAAGGCAAAGGGTGTTATCCATTACACTATACAACCACTAGTAGCATGTTTCATGTGTTCATTCACCCAAAAGCTTTGTATTAAAAACAAGGCCAATAAAAATCAGCCATCGGCCAATTTGACAGCTTTACAGGCTCCTCCTCCCTCCCCACCAGCTATCATCAGCATACACAAAGCTATGCTAGCAATGCTAAGACTCCCTACAGGCACTGCATGTGAGGATACTATTTTTAGCGATTACACACACTATTTTCATACAACGGTCTGTCATTCTTTGTTTTTATATTTTTACGCTGGATTTTTGTCCACTAACTCGTCCTACAGCTTTCGAGATATTGACCCCGTTCCAACTCCAGAATGTTCTGTTTCAATGGGAATGGTGTGCATTTTGATTGGACATACGTTTTTCGTACCATCATCATTAAATGATTTTTTTTCTCCATAGGAATGAATGGTGGCAAAAGTTTGTGCCCCCAACTTATACCATGATGATAGAAGTCCATTAACAACACCCTATTAAACATGTGGGGTACATTTGCAACACCCTAGCAGCCATCTTGGAAACGATTTGGCTGCGCAATCACTCGGCGTTTTTTAGAGTTGATTGCTCGAGTTATTTAGATTTTAATGGCCTAACTTTATAGATTTGTGATACCTAGTGTAGGTCGGGCCGCAACATAAAAAAAAGAGACCCCTCCCAGTTCCCCAACTCACACATACAGCAAGTGTTACAATAACAACAAATTGGTTTATTTTCGTCAAGAATTCAAGGCCTTAGGCAGATTAATCTCTTTAGGAAATGAAAATAAGTGGAACAGTAGAGGAGGATAGGGAAAAATAACACACCAAACAAAACTTCGATTTAGGGAAATTTAACTTACCAAACAAACAAAAAAGAAAACAGAGGCAAACAAAAATAACATTCTCTCCCCAAGAGATTATGAACATCACCAATAAGCACCAATAAGCCATCAACTAACATTCAAGCTCCTACACAGACACAGCTCTACAGCATAAGTTCTTTCAATGACTGGTCAGGGAACCGGGAACGCAACGGGAGCCACACCAGAAGCAAAACACCGCACTTCTTCCTGGCGTCTCCCTTTTATTGGCGGCTCCCCCTGCTGGTGGTTTAGTGCATCTCCCCCTCTCACTGTTCTGTAATCAATACGCAGGCCTGCACAGTGCGCTAAAGTAGTGAGGGGTAATGTTTTTTCTCTCCTTTGAATCCATGACTGAAATAACAAGCCATGTTTACATGCAGCCTGATAATGCGTTAATAATCCAACTAATAGCTCAATCGGAATAGAATACGTCCATGTGAACACAAGTAGGAACAGACTAGTCCAATTGAGGCCATTCTGAATACAGTTTCTATCCGATTGAACCAGGTGGGTAATCCTGTAAATAATCTGTTAAACAGAAGAATAATATCCGTGTAAATGCCTGTATCTGATTACATTCCCTATCGGAAAGTTTAAGTCCGTTCTGATCATGTTCGTCACGTCATAGTGAAAGTTTATACCGTTCAACACGGCGGAGCAGAAACTGGTCTGCAGAGGAGACGAAGTTTATGCTCTGATCTTTAAAAGACGGCAGTGGGACGGACGTCCAGCTTATGTGTCTCAGAACACGACGTCTTCCTCTCGGCCTTCTTTAATAAGGACATGTGAAGGACATTTTCCTGAGTCTGACATCATTTTAAAGCAATTAAAAACACAAGCACTGCTCACTGCTGCTCATCTCACTCCGACTGGACTCACGTGATGCTGGTTGTCACGGTAACGTCTACACTAAGTGGTTCTCTACGCATGCAGGTCATTTTGGATCAGATTACTTGTAGTGAGCATGTAAATAGAGGTTTTCCATCAGATTGTTGAGTAGAGTGAGAATAAACACCTCAGTCTTGATCTATAATCGGAATGAGTTCAATCGGATTGGGAGAAATCGTTGTATGTAAACACAGCCTTTGTTATTTGATGGTGAAGCACCAAGGATTTCCTCATTCTCTGGTGGAGGAATGTTTAAATTAACATCAGTTCTCTGCTGTGATAATTTTTGTTGCCATGCCCAGAAAAAGAGAGCAACACATAAGACAGCAAGTAAAGGGGATGAAATCCAGACCAGTGCGGAAACCCACCATGGCCAAACTGTTTGCTCCAGTCTTGTGGAAGATTCTGAAAGATAAAAAAGTTTATAGTTTGTACGATCTAATTCCATAAAGGACAGTTGGGACAGTGAGTAGAATGCGAATGAAAACAGAAAGCAGTAACGTATAAATTTACTTTGACCTGTATTTGACAAAAAAGACAAGATATGTAATGTTTTATCTTGTCAACTTCATTGTTTTTGTGAACATACGCTCATTCTGAAGAAGTTGGGACCATTTAAGACTAGAAATGTTGTGAAATGTTCAAAAAACATTTTAAAAAGAGAATGCAACCATGAAAGACCCAGTCCTAGTCCTAGTCAGCAGTTTAAAAATGATGTTCCTCAGTGAGCGACTGCAAGTTTAGATATTTTACCCTCTACAGTGTATGATAACATCATGGAATCTGGAGAAATCTCTGTGTGTAAAGGATAAGTACGAAAACACTATCAAATGCCCTGACCTTCGACCCTTCAGACGGCAGCGCATTAAAAACCAGCATGCTTCTGTGATGGATATCACCCAAAGTTCGGAAACACAGTGACAAACTGTTCTCAATAAACACTGTTTTTCTTTGTATTCACAAATGTAAGTTAAGACCGTACTATGCACAGCCAAAGGCATATTGCAACATTGTGCCAGAAACGCTGCCGATTTCTCTGGGCTCAAGCTCATCTGAAATGACTGATACCCAGTTCTTAAGTTATTACGCTTAACCTTTTCAACTCCTTGAGACCACCGGTGATTCCAAAATGCACTTCGTCATATTCTTCATAACTTTCATATTTCATAAGCTACATTCTTACCAGTCAAATAGATGGGTAATGTAATTTTAAACCCTTGTGTCTCTTCAGTGATCTGCTCTGTAAATATTATTTTTATAAAATAATACAAAGAGCGTCTAAGATTTTTGGCTTTCAGCAGTAAATTGTAAGCATACAGCAATATGTTTGATCATAAAACACATGTTCTGTTAATTTGAGGGGAGCTTTTACAAGTAAATAAAATAAAATAAAATAAAAATTTACATTTATTTCATGCAGTTACTGAATCATTTGCCTTACAATTTGGTCATGTAAATTCAGACAGAAAAACCAAAATATACCCTGCTGAACATATGACAACAAAGGTTCCATACAGTTGTCCAGCTAAAGGCTTGTATAACTGAATAATGACAAAGATTTTGCTTTCAAAACTGGATCCGTTTGTGTTTTCATTCTCCAAACGATTATTAAGCGTTGTTAAATATGAAAGGTGATGTAACACAGAGGTACACATGCTCCCGTCCCAACTGTTTTTAGAATGTGTTGCAGGAAAGTTTGGAATGAGCGTATATTTAGAAAAACAATGAACATCAAATATTGTGCTTTTGTACCAATATCAATTCAATACAAGTGCTCTCAACCTACCTTTGAGAATTACAGCTTCAGGGTAGCCCAGGTCTTTGTTTCCATGGTAACAGCGGTATATTCCCTCATCAGATGACCTGAACCAGGTCAGATCAAGGGACAGATCGCCATCTTTATATCTGCTTGCTGAAACCGATGCTCTCTGCTCAAAGCCTGAGCCGTAGGAAAGTTTGCCGTGCTGAAGCTTCACGACAAGTTTTCTGTCCTTTTCCCACCAAATCAGGACAGCATTCCTGGCAGTGTTCTTGTCAGTGCGGGTGTGGCAGGGCAGAGTCACCTTCTCTCCAACAGATGCACTCATAGTAATGGGGGCTTAAGGAAAAAGAGCAGAGAGTAAGAAAATAAGTTGGTTTATATGTGACACTGGCATATTTACAATGTAATCAAAGACTGGAATTTGAATACTTGAGTGTCCCTTTGTTATGTTGGTATTCGATTGTCTGATTAGTGTTTGGGAACATTGTCTTTTTTTCAAGCAACAAAAATCGTAGCCTAATAAACACTTTAAAAGCAGCCCCCTAAAAACCAGTCTAAAAGCACTTTAAACTATTGGACAATATGAAAATGTTCAGTCAAAAAATCTGGCATGGGAAGAAGTTCTAGCCAGCAACCCTTCAGTTTTAACGGTCACATTGCCTTTTGCAATGTCCTTTGAGCTCCAATCTATGAATATACATGTTTCTAAACCCCCTCCATCCACTATACTACCTGCTATCTCTACGTTACAGACTCAACAGATGAAATGAGGCAGAGAAGAACCCACAATAAGCTCCCACTTTAACTTCAACAATTTTTCTGTCACTCTGGCACCAGTGACTCGGTTTCACTCCGATTTGAGTCTTTATCCTCTAAACTTGCCTCAGTGCAGCATCAGTAAGCCAGCTAAAGTTAACGCTAACCTCTGGTGCTAACAAGAATATCGCTGTTGTCGAAAGAAAACCACGTATCTCCAAAATGGTAACTTTACAGGAGAAGGAAAAACATTTATTTTTAATGTAAGTCAATGGAACCAGAATTCATTTTGGGCCATTTCTTTTAGTCCATTCATCATGAAATTTACACACAATATAAGTAGCAATAGTCATTTTCAAACTGGGTTAAAACCTGAAAAACATAAAAAACGGAGATACGAGGTTTTCTTCCGACAGCAGCGATATGAATATGATAAAAGTAGCTCAGACTAACAGCTCCACACGCAAACACAAGTAAACCTGCTCAGATCTGAGTCTTTACCGTCAAAACTTGTGGCAAGGAAGCTTTGGTAAGCTAAATGAACCTGTGTGGTGTGAGGCTGTAGCATGCTAAGCTACTACAGCTGAATGCTACCTGCTACTAAAACAGTGCTACACATTTGACAGTTTATTAGACAGATGTGGGATGTAAATTCGACAACATTGTGCTTTTAAATACCATTTTAATACCATGTCATTTATTTACTTCAGCTAACAGTCAAACAAGTGTTTGAAGCAGTTTAGCTACATTAGCACAAGCTTGCAAGTTTCCTCCCTGCTGAAAACAACAGCACAGAATTGCATGCATTTCATGCTGGTCTAAGCTGGTTTAAGCTCGTCTGGTGCTGGTCTATGCCCGTCTGTGCTGGTGTATGCTGGTCCAGTACTGGTTTAGCTGGTCACCCAGCATGGTCATGCTGGTTGACTAGCATATAAGCTTAAAAACACAACATATGCTGGTTTTGCTGGTGATCAGCCATGCTAGTCTATACTGGTTTTCTAGCAGGGTTGATGCCATGTCAGAACTCTTCAGTTAGCATGATTTAGTATGTTGGACCGTGACATACATAGCACCCCACAACTGATTACTGAAAATGCCTGTGTTTTCAATGTAAAATATCAGGAAATCTGCTCTATAGTAACCAATTTGACACAAGTATCAGTCCATATATCTATGATAAACCATCCCAGGGGAGTTGACCATTAAAACATTTTTGAGTGCATTTTATGCATTTAAGAAGTACAAAAGTGAAAACATACCGAACACTTCTAGATGGACGTCACACAGCACTGACCCACTGCAGTAGCCGATGTACCATCCTGTATCAGTGTACACCGCAGGGTCCAGCAGGAGAGACGCATTATCCTGCTTAACCTTTGTTCTGTTCTTAAACGCCTCTCCTTCCACACAAATCTCTTTCTTGCACGAAGCAGCCAGTAACTCCTCTGGCTGTTTCGACAGAGCCCACTTTACATCACCGCGGCATGGACGGGAACACGTGAGCAGAGCAGGAGAACCGACCTTCACCGACACAGGAGGGCCATATGATAGAGACCAGGAGAGGGAGCAAACTACAGAGAGAGAGAGAGAGATTTTCCTCTGTTACATATTGTACATCAAGATGAAACTTTGGGGACATACCTGAAAGATGGACCTTGTAATTTTCAAATGAATATCTTTGCCTGCCTGGCTTACAGTACTTTGTTACAGACACACTTTGAAAGAAAGGTTTGTAAATAACTTACTTTCCTACTGTAATTCTGTTAATGATGATACTGAGCAAGTGATTACAACTGAAAACCTCCTCAATGAATCTGTCTTTCAAAACAGGCCAAAAAACTATGAGTGATGATCTGATAACTGCAGAAAATCAGATTTTGTCAGTAATTCATTCAGTGTGTTTACTTGCACTTGGCTAATCAGATAATGCGGAAACTCCAGGTCTACATTAATTAGGCAGTAATCAGATTTCGGCTTTGCAACCAGCCAATAAACTCACAGACTAAGACGTGATATAAATATAACATACAAAAAATTGAAGAAGATAAAGTATAATTAAATCCTTGCTTAAAGCATGTAGTCAGTTTCAGTATTGCTCCAAAAGTGTTTTGTTGCCGTTAAACGCTGCTTGCTGTTTCCAGGACAGTGCTCTGTTTTTGCACATGCACAGACTGACAAAACGAAAGAAATCAGAGTAAGGGTTCACATGCACTGAAAAACCCCATTACTGGCTCAAATCACGCTCTCTTTATTGGAACCAGAAATCCAGTAACAGCCTCAATCTGATCAAAGAAATCGGAGTGTGTTTACATGACTGCTTGAGCAATCAGATAACTGATTAAAAGAATTAAAAAGAAACTTTGCTCACTGGTGTCACATGAACATTTTAAACATTTGGTCTCTAACCACCTCCAATCAGCCTTCAACTGTTTTACTTGATTTTACGTAACTTTTAAAGTGATTTTTGGTATGTTTTAGTTATTGTGTCATTTTTGTTATTCTATTTTTATTTATTTATTTTAATACTGCCAAGCTATTGTTTTACTTTTTTGTTTATTTATTTAATGAATTATATTTTTATTAATCCTTATTTTATCTTATTTATTAAGTTGCTAAATTATTGTAATTTTATTGATGGTTTAATGGTTTATTGATTATATTTTTTTATTTACTACTATCATTATTAGTATATTTTAGCACTTGATATGTTTTTACTATTCAAATTCTCAATCACTGATTCTGTTTTGGCTCGGCTACATTGTAAACGAGGGTCTCCCTCAATGTAGAAGTTTAAATAAAGGTTGATTGATTAATTGATTGCCGAAAATCCGACAAAGTGTATGCATCTTACTCAGTATTATGTATGCATAAACTTGTAGCACATGAAGATGAACTTGCTTAATGCATGGAGCCACAGATTTTTCCGGACTGTTACACAGTGGGAGTATCCAAGTTGGAGTATCTAAGTTGTATGTTAGCATAAGCAGGCCTAGACTTCTCTAAGGTTGGCAGAAGGGAGCAGACCACTTACCCATCAGAAAGATGAACCATCTGAAGAGTGCAGCTCCTGCAGTGTGAATACGCATGGCAGCTCCTGTTAGCCTTACAAAGAGAATGAAGTTCCTCACCTGTAAAGCAAAACCAGTCACTTTGAGATGGTAGCGTAATGACTGACCCAAACATTTGCTGTTTATATACAGCACATATGGACTGAATTCTAATTAAATTAGCATGAATCTCTTTAAGTTATGAGAATGGAAACTGAACATTAAATTCGGACCATGAAGTGATCGGGCACGGGTCATGGTTTTGCGAGCCCTCCTGAACTCTAACAATAACATCAAATAAATAAAATACCTGAGAAGTGAGATTAAATTATGTCACGTTTGAGAATAAACAAATTGAGCCTTATTACCTCTGTGATAGAACTTGTACAGTTCAAACTCTACCATCAATTGCAGAGTTCCCCAAGGATCTATTTTAGGTCCAGTGCTGTTTTCTCTATACATGCTTCCATTGGGAAAGATCATTAGGAAGTATGATATCCAATTTCACTGTTATGCTGATGATATTCAGCTGCCTCCAGGTCCTTGAGGTCATCAAATCAGCTGCTACTGACTGTCCTACGGTCTCGGCTGAAACTCAAGGGTGACCAGGCCTTTGCTGTTGCTGCGCCAAGACTGTGGAACGGTCTACCTCGGGACATTAGGTCTGCAGCCCCTATTGATGCTTTAAATCTAGACTAAAAACCTATTTTTATCAACTAGGTTTTGTCTCTGTAAACTGATTTTTGATGTATTTTTGTTTTTTATTTTTGCTTTGTTATATATCAGATGGTGTCCTGTATTGTCCTTTTAGATGTGTTTGCCTTGTAAAGCACTTGGGGTTAAAATGTGCTTTATAAATAAATACTTACTTACTTGAGAACAGATAACGTTTCTTGTTTAATTTAGTCATAAGTACATATTCAATGGCTATTTGTTCATCTAATGCTTATATCTGCATTAGATCGGCCCAAGTATTTGAACCCCCGTCTGAGGCTCCCCGAGGGCCCTGGCACCCAGAGGTCCCTCAGTGCTGGCCCCACTGGCCCAGTCATTAATCCATCCCTGGAAATGACCCATTGAAATGCTGAATCAATAGCATATTTTTTTATAACATTCCAAAGGGGGGTGCATGATACAGATGAAACATAAGAAAAATGCTTTATGTCATATAATATATATATCATTTATATTTCAACTTAAGTGGTAGAGATATGAGGGTGACTTAGTATTGTCCTGTTAAATAAACACATAAATATGAAAAACAAACAAATATATACAGCCTAAAACGCCAATCTTGAATTTGAGCTGTGAGAAGCAGCTTCATTTACAGTGTAAAATATAACAATCCCACTAACTTAATTTTTTGGGTTTACTCACTCATCTGTTACACTTACTAATGCAAATCTAGTAACACAAAGTATTTCTTGTATGATCCTTAGTTACTTAGGTAAAGTTAGTTAAGGTCAATTCATTTGCATCAGTCCTGCAGACTGAGTTAGTTAACACAACTTAAATACTACAGAAAGTTGGAGTAACTTAATCTGACAAATTCAAACCAACTCAAAGTTGAATTGTTGGGATAGTAACTCAGCCATTTTGAGTAAAATCATTTGTTAGCATATTTTGAGTTAAGGTAACTTTATTTATAAGGTAAGTGTTTAATGTTCACTATTTTTATTTAAGTTGACCTTACAGGTACAGGCAGGGTTGGGTTTACACTCAAATGAGCCTACCTTTCCTTGGGCGCTTACTTATTTTCTACATTTTGTAAGCTCATCTAATCTCAGTCAGTACTGACTGTAGATCAGTGCTGAGTAAGCTGAGCTGCTATGACGCCACCTGCTGAGTGTGGTTCTGAACACTTGTGCATTCTGGGCTGAGTTGTCAGTATTGGGCGAGATGGTCCAGAGCAGTATTAAGTTAAACTGTTTAAGGCATTCTTGTCAAAAATGTTCTGCCGTTCAGTATAAATTTGTTAAAATGAAGGCCTAGTTTAGCTTTTAATAGAAGAAACTGAGTTAGCTGAACTTAAGTGGCTATAGTCGTGTAAAGGCAGTAAATATAAGTTAGAATTACTTAATTGTATTGAGTTCTTTAGTTCTTTAGTAAAAGAAAGGTTCTGTTTAGTTCTACATAGAACCATTTCATGCTTTCAAGGACAATGTGTTACACATGGTTGAAATTTTTTAAATTATAAATGGTGTTAAAAAGGGCTGCTATTATTATGATGTCAAGCGTGTAACAATAGCAGAACCCTCTTTGGTGCTACACAGAACCAAATTGTAAAACAGCACATTCTTCATCAAACTAAAGAACCATGTCAGCTTGCAAAGAACCATTTAATCATACAAATGGTTCTGTATAGAACTCATGGTTCTAAATAGAACCATTCCTTTTACTAAAGAACCTTTGAAGAACCATCTTTTTTAAGAATTAATGGTTTCTGTCCAGCTGAAAAAAGTCACATTAACTCCACAGCACTTATCGCTGAGAGGAACAACACCCTTGACAGAGGCCTCAAGGGAACTGTGACTCCATGAATGACAACTGAGGAAGCTGCTTCCTTTTTCTTTGGCCCTCCGCCAACATGTGATTTGAGGAAACCGGCACAGTGACACCGTTATGAGGAATGTTCTGAGCCGCAGTTTGTGGTCAGACTGGATATTGCCGCAATATAGGCGCCACCCAGAGACACGGAGAGATGGTGAACCGGGAGGCTGCTGAAAAGAAGACCATAGAACTATTAAGATTAAAGCCTGATGGTTTTGCTTTCTAATGGGAACCAGCTTAATGGTTACCACTAGTTTCCTGGAGGACACCTTTAGATCCCATTAGGAAACCATCTGGAATCAGTCCCTAGATAATCACGCTGAGATTATTAGATATTGATTTATCAGTCTACTCAGGTTTTCGCAGAGCTCAGTAACGCTGAGGTTAATAACTGATTATCACATTGATTTATCAGTCTACTCAGACTTCACATTGGAAATTAAAGGGCCTGGAACTGAAACAGCTGCTGTGCAAGACCATCCTTAGCGGTAGTAAATCTGACACTCATGCTAAAGTTCCGTTTAACCCCTGTTTACTCAGAAACAAAAAATGATTTATGCATGACCACTGACTCGTCCCATTAGTTGAAGGAAAAGCTGCTTATACATGCATATGCATGAAGTGAGCATCCAACTACACAAGAAGCTACATAAGGTCACCTTTGCACTGAAGTGTGCAAATATGAGAGAATATCAGCAATTTAAGTGTTTACCTGCTGTGTGGCGCCTTCAGTGTAGCTCTTCTTTGAGTGAAGTCTCAAACTGAAGGTGACTGCCACCAATGAGCCTGCATTAGGTGACTGGGCTATTTGTAAGCAGCGCTACAGAAGGCGTGGCCCACATGATCTGTCTGTCTTTAGGCATGCTACAGGAACCAAGAAGGAAATGCAGGGGCTGTTAAATTTCCCTACACAGGCCTGTTGCCAGGCAGCCAAGTGTAGTCGTAAACACTGTGCTATGCTATGTCTGCTTTTGTTGTCATCTCAGTCAGTAGTTCAGGAGGGGGAGAAAAACACTTGGCTTAGAAAAACAGTAGGTGGGGCATGGGAAGGGCAATGATGGCTGATATCTCATCTTGTCTTGCACTTTACTGTCATTATGCCTTTTCAGCACACATACAGGAAGTCAAATACCAGCAGATAAGCAGACAATGAATACAATAATATCAGATAGTTACAGGCTCATTAACCACAGCATGACTAGCATGAAAATTTAGAAATACGTAAAAAAACACCCATTTGTAGAGAGAGAGAGAGAGAGAGAGAGAGAGAGAGAGAGAGATAGAGGGAGAGAGAGAGAGAGGTGGGGGTTAGAGCACTCTCAGGTGTCTTCCCCACCAAAAACAGACTTGATCAAAAAAATTCTGTCAATTAGACAATCTCTATAGGTATTTGCTCATTCATCTTTCAACATTACAAATCAAAACTACAGGGTGATTCAAAAAGATTCACCTGATTTCAAAGCACCATATTTTTACAACCATGAGGCGCCTAGGAACCAATCAAAGAGGGGGTCATAGAGTTTCTGACTGTCAGTGGAAGATGGCTCCCTTCAGTCTGAGAGGAGATGAGACCCCTGAGCAGAAAGCGTTCTGCGTTCTCCACTTCAATAAGAGTGAATCCGTCATAAGTGTGCAGCATGATTTTCATGGGCAGTGAAGCTCCAACAGCTCAGAGCGTTCGCCGTTGGTTCCACAACACTGGATGATCTCCGAAATCGCACTGAAAGAGCCGTGAGTGCAGCGACACCCGACATGCTCAATCCAGAGCTCAGTAACACTGAGATTAATAACCGATCATGTTGATTTATCAGTCGTCTCAGGCTTTAGCAGAGCTCAGTAACACTGAGATTAATAACTGATCATCACATTGATTTATCAGTCTACTCAGGCTTTAGCAGAGCTCAGTAACACTGAGATTAATAACTGATCATCACACTGATTAATCAGTCTACTCAGGCTTTAGCAGAGCTCAGTAACACTGAGATTAATAACTGATCATCACATTGAATTATCAGTCTACTCAGGCTTTAGCAGAGCTCAGTAACACTGATATTAATAACTGATCATCACATTGATTTATTAGTCTACTCAGGCTTTAGCAGAGCTCAGTTACACTGAGATTAATAACTCATCACATTGCTTTATCAGTCTACTCAGGCTTTAGCAGAGCTCAGTAACACTGAGATTAATAACTGATCACATTGATTTATCAGTCGACTCAGACTTTAGCAGAGCTCAGTAACCCTGAGATTAATAACTGATCACATTGATTTATCAGACTGTATGTTTGTAATGTTTTCTGTCATAAAATAAAAAATCATGCCATTTGAAATTTTTTTCAAACTTTTCATAAGCTTGTTTGTCTGAAAAAACATGCTTTCTGAACAGTGTACGATTGTGGAACAGCCTATAGGAATGAATGTGTTAAAGAGTGTAAACATATTTCAAAAATTTTCAACAATTGTTCAAACCAGACTATCATAACCCTCTTCAAAACAAGAAGCATCGCTGGAGGGTTGTGGTCAACGCCACCCAGCTGCCATGCTCTGCTGGTAGGCCCCCGCTGCTGGCCATCATCCAGGCATCCTTGCCATCACTTTTTTCAACATCTTCCAGCCGGGTTCTTCTGCCAAGCTTCACTTTGCTGCTTCTTCTTCCACAGTCTTCAGCCGGGCTTGGTTTTCTCTGCAATTATCCTTTGACCCAGACTGCTGGGGTGCACTATCCCACTTCTGATACCACTGTGGCGATAGCATACAATAAGACGAGGGAGAACTGTGGCCCAGCGCTGCTAAAAACAGCCTAGATGTTGGGCAGGTCACCTCTAGCCATACAATTTCTGTTGAAGGTAGGCACTAATACTGCACCGACTACCCTGCAGAACAACACGAACAACACAAATATGCATCTCAGACTAACAAAAACTTATTTACATATTTACAGTCTCTCTTAAAATGTAAATTTTCAACTATAAAGCAGCAGCAAAACTTCAGATTGCACTTGGTAGTTTTATTTCTTTTGAATACCTCTGTTTCATATTGCAGGGTGCTCCCAAAATTTATATTTATAACCTCCAAGATACAATTCCATTGGTGACTCTGCTGAAGTACTGTCAGGTTTCTCCATAGATTACAGCTTTTTCATCATAACTGGGGATTTCAACATCCATATACACCATATAGACAAAAGTACTGGGACACCTACACAATACACCCACAGGAGCTTTTATGAATCCCATTCTAAATTCATAGGCATTAATATGGAGTTGGTCCCTCTTTGCAGCTCTAACAGCTTCCACTCTTCTGGGAAGCTTCTACAAGACGTTGGAGAGTCTGTGGGAATTTGTGTCCATTCATCCAGAAGAGCATTTGTGAAGTCAGTCACTGATTTTGGATGAGAGGGCCTGGCTCACAATCTCCGTTCTAGTTCATCCCAAAGGTGTTTGATGGGGTTGAGGTCAGGGCTCTGTGAGGGCCAGTCAAGTTCTTCCACACCAAACTCACCCAGTCAGGCCTTTATGGAGCTGCTTTGTGCACTGGGGCTCAGTCATGCTGGAACAGAAAAGGTTCTTCCCTAAACTGTTCACACAAAGTTTGAAATGTACAATTGTCCAAAATGTAAGTAAGTAAGTAAGTAAAGTTTATTTATATAGTGCTTTTTACAACAGGTAAGGAAATGAGCATTACAAAAAGAAATTCGGGTCCGAGCCCCCATGAGCAAGCCAGTGGTGACAGTGGCAAGGAAAAACTCCCCAAGAGAAACAGGAAGAAACCTTGAGAGGAACCAGGACTCAGAAGGGGAACCCATCCTCCTCTGGTCGACACCGGATAGTAAACATTGTTAGTATAAAGTATTATAGTACAAAAACAGGGTAAAAGGTGAAGGAAACAATTAATTTGAATAGTTCAGTTCATGCAGCAGAAGCAGCAGCATCAGTGGGGTCAGGTTGTGAGGGTGAGGTTTGCACGGTGAGCAGTGGCACCCGATCAAGGCAGCAGAGGCAGCAGCATCAGCAGCAGGATGGGCAGCTGTTCAACTCGGCAAAGGAAAGAGAGGAAAAACACAGTCAATGGGTGATTGATTAATTTGAATTAGTTTGAATGATTGATTGGTTCAAGTGAATAATTTTGAATAGTTCATGCAGCAACAGCAGTAGTATCAGTGGGGTCAGGTTGTGAGGGTGAGGTTTGCACGGCGTTGTACAGCAGGAGGCTCAATGTTGGTAACCCGGTCCAGAGGGCTGGCGAGCAGTGGCACCCGATCGAGGCAGAAAAGGCAGCAGCATCAGAACGCACAGGATGGGCAGCTGTTCAACTCGGCGAAGAAAAGAAAGGAGAACACACAGAGAGGAAAACACACAGAGTCAGTTCTGTAATGGGTGACCGATCACAAATTACAGTGTTAGCAGAGACTCTGGCAGGTATAGAACTAACAGGGAAAACTAATTACCAAAGGCTTGACTGTACAAGTACGTTTTTAGCCTAGACTTAAAGACTGAGGCTGTGTCTGAGTCCCGAACATTAACAGGAAGATTATTCCAAAGCTGGGGGGCTTTGTATGAGAAAGCTCTCCCCCCTGACGTAACTTTATTAGTTCTAGGTACTAATAGTGAGCAGCACCTTGTGATCTAAGTAGGCGGGATGGTTCATAGTGAGAGAGAAGTTCACTCAGGTACAGCGGGGCGAGTCCGTTTAGTGCTTTATAAGTCAGCAACAGAATTTTATAATCAATCCGAAATTTTACTGGCAGCCAGTGCAAGGCTGATAAAACTGGACTGATATGGTCAAACTTTCTGGTTCTTGTAAGGACTCTGGCTGCAGCGTTCTGGACCAACTGAAGCTTGTTAACGCTTTTGCTGGGACATCCAGCCAGCAGGGCATTACAGTAATGTCTTGGTTTGCTGAAGCATTAAGATTTCCCTTCACTGGAATTAAGAGTTCTAGGCCAACCAGAGGTGGCAGAGATGGCATCCTATGATGGTGCCATGTTTAAAGTCACTGAGCTCTTCAGTGCGACCTCTACTGCCAGTGTTTGACTATCAAGACTGCAAGGCTATGTACTTAATCTTATCCCTCTGTTAGCAATGGGTGTGGCTGAAACACCTGAATTCAATAATTAGGAGGGGTGTCCCAATACTTTTGTCTATAAATTGTAGATAATAACAGGATCAATAATGGCAAAGAACATTTTGCACTGTTTGACACTTTTGGTCGCTCACAGTACATGAAAGAGTCTATGCATACTCGAGGCCACACTCTGGATCTGGTGATTTCTTCCATTATTGTCAAAGACATTGCCCTTTCTGGTCATTTCCGAGCCTTCTTTGGCTTACTGATCTCTACTGATGCTCAAACAAGCTCTGTTTATATTAGGAAAAAGTGCATAAATGACAGTACTAGTGCTTAGTCTATGAAGGCCATAGCTATGTCGCTAACTCTTGTTGTACTCCTAGATAATTTAAATTGACTATCTGAATGTCATGAATGTTGTTGCACCGGTAAGTCAAGAAAAGAAAGCACCGTGGAGAAACACCGTGATGGAAAAAACCCTGAAAAGGAAAAGCAGGAAAGCTGAAGTAAATGAAGAAAAATGAAACAAATTCACTAAGAACTCTACAAAGTATTTTTAGCTCCGAGTTATGATTAACATGAGCATCAACAGCACACACACCCTATTTGTCATGGCAAGGTTTTAAATCATATATGGCAGAACACTAATTGGGGTAAAAATATCAGTTCTGGTTTTACTAGATCTCAGTGCTGCATTTGACACTGTAGATAAAATCAGAAGGGACTTTTCAGAACAGACGTTAACTGGTTCAGGTCTTATTTAGATGGCTGGAGTTATTTTGTCACCATTGCCAGTTAAGAATCTGATAGGGTGACTATGACATGCGGAGTCCCCCAGGGTTCAGTTCTCGGACCCCTTCTGTTCAAATTCTGTATGCTACCCTTGGTCCAAATTCTGCAGAATAACAACATTGATTACCATAGTTATGCAGATGATACACATCTGGCTCTCTCACCAGATGACTAGATGCTTTAAAAAGATGGTCCTTCAAGGGTTCTTTAGTAAAGACAGTGTTTCTTTATAGAAGTATGAGCACTCAGTGAACAATTTGTATGCCTAAATGGTTCTTTGCTTGGTGAAACAGTTTTACAGATGGATAATGTGGTGTTGTTTTTTAAAAGGGTTCTATATAGCACCAAAAGGGTTCTTCTATTGTTGTGATGTCAAGCTTGTAATAATAGAGGAACCATTTTTGGTGCTGTATAGAACCATTTTCAAGAACTACAACACATTCTCCATCAATCTCTGGAAGAAAAATGGTTGTTTGAGTGTTCATGGTTCTATATAGAACTACACTCTTAAAAAAGATGCTTCTTCAAGGGTTCTTTAGTAAAGAAAATGGTTCTCTAAAGAACCACAAACATTCAAGGAACCCTTTTATTAAAGTCTTCTTTGCATTGTGAAAGAGTTCTTAAGAATATGCTGTAGATGGTTCTACATAGAACCTTTTTAAAAAGGTTCTATATAGCACTAAAAAGGGTTCTGCTATTATTATGATGTCAAGCTTGTAACAACAGAAGAACCCTTTCTGGTGTTATATAGAACCATTTTTAAAAAGATTATACATGGAACCATCTACAGCACATTCTCCACCAATTTTCTCCACCAACACTTGCAAAAGAAACCCTTTAATCATGGAAATGGTTCTTTGAATGTTCTTGGTTCTATATAGAACCATTTTTTTTACTAAAGAACCCCTGAAGAACTTTTTAAAAGTGTACAGCCCAATAGACTCACTGGAGAGGAGAACGTTCGGTTGCCCATTGCTGTATGTTGCGGTCATTTCATGAACATTTAAACTTTTTGTCGTATAACATGAACATATGATAACACAGCACTGTTTAATACAAAAGCTTTCACTTTGTAAGTACTTTTCGTCACCAAATCACCACCGTGAGTCTTATTTAGCACCAATCCAGCGGTGCCCTCTTCTCACACTGGGGCTAAATGTCAAACGGCTCCCTGCTCCCTACATAGTGCACTACGTAGGAGTTTAAATACTGGATTCTGCAGCCCAACAGAGCAAAATACAGCTAAGAAACAGTCATTTGGGATTCAGACACATCCACACTCGATAAGTGATGCACTGTTTGGCTGTAGAGGCTAGAATTTCTAAACTTTCATAGCTAGAATTTGTGTCTCATAATTATGGCACAGCATCTCATACTTATGACTTAGTATCTCATAATTATGGCATAGCATCTCATACTTATGACTTAGTATCTCATAATTATACCACAGCATCTCATACTTATGACTTAGTATCTCATAATTATGGCATAGCATCTCATACTTATGACTTAGTATCTCATAATTATGGCACAGCATCTCATACTTATGACTTAGTATCTCATAATTATGGCACAGCATCTCATACTTATGACTTAGTATCTCATAATTATGGCATAGCATCTCATACTTATGACTTAGTATCTCATAATTATACCACAGCATCTCATAATTATGAATTTGTGTCTCATAATTATGGCATAGCATCTCATAGTTATAAATTTGTGTCTCATAATTATGGCACAGCATCTCATTGTTATGACTTAGTATCTCATACTTATGGCATAGCATCTCATACTTATGGCATAGCATCTCATAGTTATGACTTTATGGTTTAGTATCTCATAATTATGACTTTGCATTAGACCTGGTATCTCATAATTATGCCTTACTGTCTTATAATTATGTGAAAAAATTACATAAGTTATTATTATGAGATACTGAGTCAATTAAGAGATAGAATCTGATGATTATGAGATTTTAAGTCATAATTATGAGATGCTATGACTTCATATCTGATAATAATCATCCATATTTTTGTCCAGTGGAGGAAATGGGTTCCTATCAGACAGACACTGTCAGAACAGAGAAGCGGTCAAACATGTTGTTCTTCACTGTAAGTTGTGCACTGAAGAGCTTACCTGCATATGGCTCACAGGTGGGCGGGGTGCACCGCCAGGTTTGTCAGTTTATGAGATTTTTTTTTTTTCTTTTTTTGTGGGATGTACAGAGTTGGCGCGTGCGTCTGAAGTCTCACTCCAGCTCAGCAGGTGGCAGTAATGCAGCATACGCTGGCCTGCCAACCTCCATTCACACAAAAGAACAAGAAGAACCACAGCTCTGGAAGAACCTCTAGATGGCGCTGCTGTCCTGTGACGTTTCGCACTGACCGCTGGCGGCACGAGGTTTGCGTGAGATTAAAACTCTTAATACTTTGAATTTTAGCGATATAGAGCGGCTTTTAGTCGTAATGCGCTGCTAAAATCAGTCGAAGTCGATGTTCGGCCTGGTTTTCTAGCTAAAAAAAGCGAGAGGCTGAAGTTAAGCTTCCCCTTCGCCAGCTTCTGCTTCGAATTTCCCCGTTCCACCTTAAATGGTGCAGCAGTTAATGGTGCAGCCTCAGGCGTCTGAATGTAACTGCTGCCATTTAAGGTGGAACGGGAAAATTCGAACAAGAAGCTGGCTATATCCGCAAAAATCTCGTGTAATTCAGTGCAGTACTGTTTACTAAGGCTCTATCTGCTACTTAAGTGTGTCTGAGAGAATATTTATGACTATATTTATCATCAGTTCCCATTTGTGCTTCGCTTTTAGCTCCTAATCAAGTTTTTCTTTTGAGTTTTCATTCTGTTGTGTTGGTCCAGCTCCTGGACTGCGTTACTCTTATCATTTAGGACAGTCAGCATTTTATTTTAGACCAAAAAGAGCCAAAAACAGAAGAATAGATCCTAAAAACTTAAGTTCCTATTTTATGCTGATGTATGACAGGGTAGTTATTTTTTTTAATATGGCGTGGTAACCAATTACTTTATTAAGGCCACAAATTACTCAGTCACCATGTTACCTTAGGGGATCCTTATATACACGGATCAGGCATAACATAATGACCATCTCCTTGTTTCTACGCTCATTGTCCATTTTATCAGCTCCACTTACTATATAGGTGCACTTTGTAGTTCTACAGTTACAGACTGTAGTCCATCTGTTTCTCTGATACTTTGTTAGCCCCCTTCTACCCTGTTCTTCAGTGGTCAGGACCCCCATGGACCCTCACAGAGCAGGTACTGTTTGGGTGGTGGATCATTCTCAGCACTGCAGTAACACTGACGTGGTGGTGGTGTGTTAGTGTGTGTTGTGCTGGTCTGAGTGGATCAGACACAGCAGTGCTGCTGGAGTTTTTAAACACCTCTCGTGTCACTGCTGGACTGAGAATAGTCCACCAACCAACAATATCCAGCTGACAGCGTCCTGTGGGCAGCGTCCTGTGACCACTGATGAAGGACTAGAGGATGACCAACACAAACTGCAGCAGCAGCAGATGAGCTATCATCTCTGACTTTACATCAACAAGGTGGACTGACAATGTAGGAGTGTCCAATAGAGTGGACAGTGAGTGGACACAGTGTTTAAAAACTCCAGCAGCAGTTGTCGCCAGTTGACGCTGTTGGCTGGATATTGTTGGTTGGTGGACTATTCTCAGTCCAGCAGTGACACTGAGGTGTTTAAAAACCCCAGCAGCACTGCTGTGTCTGATCCACTCAGACCAGCGCAACACACTAACACACCACCACCACTGAAGAACAGGGTAAAAGGGGGCTAACAAAGTATCAGAGAAACAGATGGACTACAGTCTGTAACTGTAGAACTACAAAGTGCACCTATATAGTAAGTGGAGCTGATAAAATGGACAATGAGTGTAGAAACAAGGAGGTGGTCATTATGTTATGTCTGATCGGTGTATATGATGCATGCTGGATGGATGTACTAATAATGTTCATTGCAGTTCAACTTAAATACTAGGTTTTTACATCAGTTGGTTTTGGTGACCACTGAGTCGTTATGTTATTTCAGTAACATTACTTTTCCTTGAGTACAGTTTAAGGATATTTTACCCTCCTCTAAAAGTTCACTAGGAACCTCATTATTTAAGTGGAGTATTGGGCCTAAACAGCTGAACTTTTTCCTTTTCTCCTGTGTTTAAACAGAAGCTGGAGTTCTTTTCCTGTCAGCATGGCGTTGGTGCCGTATGATGAGAACGTACTGCCAGCTCTCTCAAAAATCCACAGCGCTTCAGCCGAGTTCCACTTCGCCTCACATCGACTCCGCCTGGCCCAGGATTGGAATAGACTAGGAGTGGCTGCAGTCGTGTGGGACGCAGTAAGCTTGTACCTATCATATTGTAATATTGGGCCAATAATCCTAAACCTTAAATCAGAGATCATACCAATCTTATTGTAATATTAGGCCAAGATGATAATCCTGACTCTATGATCAGAGATCATACTGATCTTATTGTAATATTAGGCCTAGATGATAATCCTGACCCTATAATCAGAGATTATACTGATTTTATTGTAATATTAGGCTGAGATGATAATCCTGACCCTATAATCAGAGATCATACTGATCTTATTGTAATATTAGGCCTAGATGATAATCCTGACCCCATAATCAGAGATTATACCCATCTTATTGTAATATTAGGCCTAGATGATAATTCTGACCCTGTAGTCAGAGATCATACCCATTTTATTGTAATATTAGGCCAATATAATAATCCTTATACTATAATCAGAGATTATATCCATCTTATTGTAATATTAGGCCTAGATGATAATCCTGACCCTATAATCAGAGATCATACCCGTCTTATTGTAATATTAGGCCTAGATGATAATAATCCTGACCCAATACTCAGAGATTATATCCATCTTATTGTAATATTAGGCCTAGATGATAATCCTGACCCTATAATCAGAGATCATACCCGTCTTATTGTAATATTAGGCCTAGATGATAATAATCCTGACCCAATACTCAGAGATTATATCTATTTTATTGTAATATTAGGCTGAGATGATAATCCTGACCCTATAATCAGGGATTATATTTATTTTATTATAATATTAGGCTGAGATGATAATCCTGACCCTATAATCAGGGATTATATTTATCTTATTGTAATATTAGGCCGAGATGATAATCCTGACCCTATAATCAGAGATTATACCCATCTTGTTGCATACTGTCATGATTTATTAGCCCAAGCAGAAAACATCTACTGTATTTTTAGTGACAAAAAAAATCAGGAGAGTTAATGGGCCTCATTTATTGGTCAGTTTCCAGCACAGTGGTGAAGCTGTCGGACTGTTAGTTTACATCTCATTTAGCTCTGAAAATGCAGCTTGAATGAGGTTTATGTTAGGCTACTAACCCAAATACCCAGAGTAGAGTTATCATATCCTCTTTATCTCTCACTGTTTAAACTGTGTTTGCCCCTCTTTCTCAGGCAGTGGTGCTGTGCATGTATCTGGAGCTTGGCCATGTGGACCTGAAGGGGAGGGCCGTTATTGAGCTGGGAGCTGGCACTGGACTGGTGGGCATAGTGGCCGCGCTGCTTGGTGGGGGCAATATTGTTATTTTTTCCAATTAGAGCTAAGTTAACACATTTTTGATGCACCCTGAATTTTAATGATCCATATTGTCGCTGTTTCCATTTTTGTAGTATTTCTTTTTTTGATATAATTTAATATCACCAAATTTTAAATATTACACTGTGTCAGAATTTCATCATAGATGGACCAGTAGAAATGGTAAAAAAATGACTTGGAATAAATTTCAAATTTTTTGAGATACGACATTTTGCTCTGACTAGGCCTGTCACATTTCTTACATGCTCTTCTGATTGCAGTTATTTCGCTATCATTTAACCCGACTGCAGTTATTTTCCACAGTCATTAGGTTTCGCAGTCATATTGTATCACAGTTCTGACAGCAACGATATCTATTTATTTGATATAGACAGTTGGAGCTGGATATATGCTGTTCTCTTTAGTCATTTCAAAGTTTAATTAGAGCTAAATTAATCTGTACTTTTAATGATCCATATTGTCACTGTCAGAACAAAACCTTGCATCTCCATTTTTGTAGTTTTTCATTTTTTGATATAATTTTGTCGCAAGATGCTGGTTACATTTCATGATGAGTGGACCAAAAGACATGGTCCAAAATTGCTTGGAATAAATATCTTAATTAACTTCCATTAAAGAACGTTAAGAAGTTAAGAACGTTTTTCCTTCTCCTGTTAAGTTACTCTAATTAAACTTGGAAATGACCTTAGAGAGAATAGCATTACTTTAATACTTGATTTGATCGATCACCAGTGACCTCAGGAGACTTTGACGTTAGTTGATTCATTGAAAATATGTTCAAATATTTAGTGTATACGGTAATTTTATCAGCTCCACTTACTATATAGGTGCACTTTGTAGTTCTACAATTACAGACTGTAGTCCATCTGTTTCTCTGATACTTTGTTAGCCCCCTTTTACCCTGTTCTTCAGTGGTCAGGACCCCCATGGACCCTCACAGAGCAGGTACTATGTGGGTGGTGGGTCATTCTCAGCACTGCAGTAACACTGACGTGGTGAAGGTGTGTTAGTGTGTGTTGTGCTGGTACGAGTGGATCAGACACAGCAGTGCTGCTAGGGTTTTAAACACTGTGTCCACTCACTGTCCACTCTATGAGACACTCCTACCTTGTCAGTCTGTAATTGTAGAACTACAAAGTGCACCTATATAGTAAGTGGAGCTGATAAAATGGACAATGAGTGTAGAAACAAGGAGGTGGTCATTATGTTATGCCTGATTGGTGTATATAACTTACATAATTAATAGAGCAGATGACAATCTAAGTGCTTCGGTCCTACAATACTAAAATTCAAGGCTAAATATAAACAAAAAAATTCCGTTCCCTGTGTAAATATAATTGTGTTGGTGTTTAAACCCACTTTTTTGTACTAACTCATGCCTTCTCACTCTTCTCAGGAGCCACCGTGACGATCACTGACCGGAAGCCTGCGCTGGAGTTTCTGAGCGCTAACGTGCGTGAGAACATTCCTCCAGACCTGCAGGAGGCGGTGCAGGTGTCCGAGCTGACCTGGGGAGAGGGACTACAGCGCTATCCCTCAGGCAGCTACGACCTCGTTCTCGGAGCAGACATCGTTTACCTGGAGGAAACGTTCCCCGCCCTTCTACAGACTCTAGAACACCTGAGCTCGGAGAACACTGAGGTTCTGCTGTCGTGTCGGATCCGATACGAGCGGGACGAGCGATTTCTAGGCATGCTGGGGAGGCTGTTCTCCGTACAGGAAGTTCATTACGATGAACAGAGGGACATTCGTATCTACAGAGCTGTGAGGATTAAGACCAAGCCTGAACTCTGAGGGTCCAGCTCGGGTTCTCTGCTCTGATTCTGACTGACATTCTGGCAACAAGCCTTTTACTCCTGTGGCCAAAACACTTCGCTGATATCCTTTCTTTCCTAGTAGGTCTGTCATTATTGATTGTGTTAGTAATTAAATAAGTTACTGATTATTTTGGTGACTACTTGAACAGACAAAGTTTTAAAAACAATAAAAATGGGATGTAATCGAACAACAGACCACACAAAGCCTTTCTAAAGAGCGAAGAAGCCTGTAAAAGACTTGATTTAAAAAAAGTGTCTGTGTGTGTGTGTGTGTATGCATGCCTCAGTCTGCTTCAGTTCAAATAACTGAAGTGTGGGAAGGGCATGGTCCCATTAGTTTCCATCATCATTGCACCCCACCACCACCTTGTTTCCTCCTTGTTCCTTAGTCTTTTCATCCAGGGCGGTCCAAAGCAGAATCCCCTCAGAACTCCAGCCAAAGGCTAAGCTCACATTACCAAATTTTTGCCCTAATGTGACTCAGATCTGATGTTTTCAGGGCTGTGTGGACAAATCTGATCTTTTCAAATCCGACCTGAGCCACTTTCATATGTGGTCCTAGATCGGATACGTATCCGATTCGTGGCCGTGTGACCTTAATGTGACGCTCAGATCGGAATTCATGTGCTTTTTTTCCACTGCCTGTGCGCCATCATTCAGCGTTACTATGGCAGCAGCGCCGAACAGAAGTTAAAGCCTGTAAACGGTGGAAAAGCAGCTCATCTCACCTTTTTCTCCTTCGTCTCACTCTAATAATGAAGCTGAGAGCTGATCAGAGTTAATGATCTTCTCAGCGAAGCTCGTTCTGCTCGTTAGTTTGTGCTGATGATGAACGTGATTCGTTCACGTGGCGTTACTGAGTAGGATGTGCTCATGTGGGTCATTTCAGGACGCCGGTTCGTCACATTGACAGATTTGAATCACTTACTTAAACGAACCATCATGTCAGACAGATCGGATCTGAGCAAAAACTCGGATTTGAGTAATGAGGCTTGTAATGTGAAAGTAACATAAGTCTCTTCTCATACTATCATCGTGTTGAAGGAGTGGTAGGAGTAGTAGGTTTAAACTATGAACCATTATTATCTTTCAAACTACCAGGTAATCAATATCAATTCAATGTTAATCACTGACTATTATTAGCAAGTAATCGAGTTTTATTCAAGTAATATTTATGTAATATTTATAGCCCAACTTTCCACTGAGCGTCAGTGGGTCAGAGTGCCAGTCTGCCTGCTTGTTCATGGTTTATTTTTGTGTACGTCCACTGCCTTACCACAAGAGTGCGCTGTGGAGTCGGGCAGAGCCTAGTCTTTCAGAGCATGCCCACTAGTCCTGTATGCTGTGAACGCATGATAATCTGATTAGAAAAATAAGTTTTGTGTTCATATATTAGACATATACAGGTATATGCCAGTGTTTTGGTGCCTCTGGTCAAATTCCATTGATTTTCTAAGTGAAAATAAGTTAACACATTCTCTACTGCAGGGTTTCTCAACCACTGGGCCGAGGACCACAAGTGGGCCGCGAAGGACCCTTTGGTGGTCCTTGAACCTATTCTGAGGGGGACCAGTGGTCTGTGGGGGGCACTTTGTCATAAAACTCAGTGACTTAACAACAAGAAAGAAATAAGATGTTTCAGACAGTTTAACACATTAATATAAGCCGTGCAATGACAGTCCCCAAAGGCAGCTTCGTTGACCTTTCAGTTGTCCACTCGCACCAATATTCTGCAGATATTGTATCTGATACTGATACACATTCAATATCTCCAGAGTTGGTTACCCAAACATCACTGTGTTGAAAATTTCCCTAAAAATGACATTTTTAAGCAGAAACGTTGAGTTTTGTTTTCTTCTGGGCCTTCATGCTTTCTAGTGATAAATGGGTGGACCTTAAGGTGGAAAGGTTAAGACCCCCTGCTCTACAGTGATAATACACAATTTGCTGTTTGTTTGCTGGATTTAACATATTGCAAAAAAAAACAAATGCACTTTTTGTGTTTTTTTTTTTTCCAATATTTTCAACTCAAATTGTGCAATATTTAAGTTTCCTGTAGAGGATGTGTTAAGCGGGGGTGCTCATACTTTTGCATATGGCTCTAAACGCCAAAACCATGTCAATTACATTGAGCCTTCGTGTGTTATGAAGTGTTACGCATGCAGGCCAAGTCATTTGCTTCTTTGAGAAAATACGTAATGCCTTGTTGTTTTCTATGTGTTTGCATCCCATTAGATTTAAGCTCCTCGTTCCACAGTAAAAGGACCTCAGTCCCAACGTCATTCGTGATGCCCTCAGGTTGGGCACAGCCATAATCAAGCTAATCATGGTGTTCGGGTTGAGCTGGACAGCAGAGACGGTAGCAAATTGCAGAGCGTTTGCAGACAGGGGGAACATTCATAGAACAGATACCATCTCACCAGGCTGCTCTGTAAGTTGCAGCTCTAAGAGAACATTGTACAATGTTAAGTCCACTTGAATGTGGACTAGATGCACAACCCAGCCGTCCGTAGACTGTCAGAGGTGTTTTGATTAATCTGCATTACGCAGCTATCTCTGCTAGAGAGGGTTTAACAGCAGAGGAGCCTGTAGTCTCAAACTCTTTCAGCTGTTCACATCTCGGTCCAAACACTGCATTTAGCAGGGAGCCAGCATCTCCGCCACTCCTGTGTGTCAAGACGCTATTCGTCAAATGAGATTAAATCACATGTAACAATGCAACATGGCCTTAAAGGGACACTTCAGTGGAAAATCAACCTGGCACGACCATCCATGGCTTTAGGTTCACACTGGGGCTAAGAGGTGATGTAGCTAACAAGTAATGGAAGCCTGTGATCCAGATTTGGTCACGGGACTAACGTCAGGAGGCTACGGCTTACAGCAATTCAAATGCAAAACTCGTAAACGCAATTTGTCTTATCATTTTGCACTGGGTTACAGTGCCTTAACTGTGTTAAAATCCAGGGGCAAACCATGACTATTAAAGCTAGGCCTTGAGCCCGGGCCACAAATGTCAAAACTGGGTCAAAAACAAGAAAAAATCATCATCTATTATGATGCTAATTTCTGCTAGCACCTCTATGGGATTCTAGTACTTTGTTGCCAGCAATTCACACAAACATTTTTTGCTGTTCTATGTCAAATATGGACATTTGGAGACATTCCATGTCTTATTTGGTCAATGTTTGGTTGATTCCACTATCAGCTCCTGAAGTCCTAACCAATGGGAGAGCTAGCTTAGCAGTATCCACTCAGATACCACAGAGAAAATGATCCTGATTGGACAATTTTCTGTTGAACATTTCAAGAATCGAACCCTTTTGTTTCCTATCAAAACTTAAGAATGAAGTAAGAGTATTACTACAATACTTGCAAAATACAATAGTGATTCTATTAAATAAAAATGAGCTAAAATTTGATTTCACAGAAATCATAAGGCTTTTTCTGAAGCTAAAACATTTCACATTGGGTTACAACACCTTAACTGTGGTAACCCATGACTGTTAAAGCTAGGCCTCGAGCTCAGGCCACAAATGTCAAAACTTGGTCAAAATATGAGAAAAACGCCTCTATTATAATGCTAAGTTCTGCTAGCGCCACTATGGGATTCTAATACTATGTTACCAGCAATTCACACAAACATTTTTCGCTGTTCTATGTCAAATACAGACATTTGAAGACATTCCTTGTCTTGTTTGTAGCTTCTAACAGACATTAGCATATATTATGCTTGTATGTATCAGTTTTCCAGTGACTCAGTTCTAGCATAGAGCTGCCGCCGCTGCTTTCCATTCCTAACAACGGACCGAAACCTGCTTGGACTATGACTCGTATTCACAGTCAGTGATGTATCTAGAACTTCCAAAATGACACTTTCTCTCACAAAATTGGCCTCAATGTGTATCAAACATGTTTGTTTGACTCTACTATCAGCTCCTGAAGTCCTAACCAATGGGAGAGCTAGCTTGGCTGGAGCTACCTGGATACGCAAGAGAAAACAACTCTGATTGGATAATTTTCTATTAGACATTTGAAGAATTGAACCCTTTTCCTACCAAAACTTAGCAATTAAGTGTGAATATTACTACAATACTTGCAGAGTTAAAAAGCGAGCATGGCGATTCTGTTGAATATAAATGAGCTAAAATTTGATTTCATACACATCATAAGTCCTTCTCTGAAGCTAAAACAGTCCAGTAATCCTCGTTTGGGGCACATTGGCCCAAGTGTGTGAACACTTAGCCATGCAGTTTGCTCAATGCTAACTGGTTCCATTCCATTGTTAGCCAGCTACATTAGCTGCTTAGCTCCAGTGTAAAACTGAAGAAGCAAACATCAAAAACCGAACATGTCTTGTTTGAGGTAAGGTGGGAACTGTAAATTAGATTTTTGGCCAAGTGTTGGAGGGAAACAAACAAAAAACCCACCAACTCGTATTAATGGAAGTGACGATCTTTCGCTGCCGGTGGAAAGCCATTTTCAATTGGCGTGTCCAGTGAAACTGCAGATAAGAGGCTCGAAACTGACACCTACAAACCCGGCAGGCTGCAGAGTTGACCTCAAAGCTGCCGGGAACTCAATAAAGTACATAAGGTGTGAAATGGCACCTGCTTAGCCTTTCATCAGAACGGCGGATAAAATTCCGCTTTCGTGCATCGTATAGCACAACGCATTAGACAGCGGCGAGTGCACGAGTGTCTGTGTGTTTGCAGAGGAAGTCCGCTCTGGAGAAGATGGCTCTGTTTGTTCTGCCCAGGCTCGGTCATTAAAGAGACGCTATTCTGTTTGTAAAGCTTTTAACAGGCTTTTAGTTGCCGTTCTTCCGCTGTTAGCTGGCCAATAACGTTTCTACATGATCTCTCACGTTGAGATCATTGAGCTGAGTGGAGTCACCTGGTGCTCATTTCGACATGACATCACAAGTTCCTTTATAGATAGTGGACTTCCTAAGCAGTGCCCTATATAGAGTATTAGCACTCAGGAGACTACAGTTATGGTCATTTTACAGCATTATTTCAATGGAAATGATGTAATTACAGTTGCGTAATGAATTACGCAACACAATTACGTTTACATCCTGCATCAACCGTCACTTCCATCATCTTTTCATTCTTTTCCGTATCAAAAAATGACAATAAAATGTGAAGAATGTACTTTTTCCCTCTGCAACGCTTTAGACAACAATAATTTCATAATAAATTCATAATAAAATATCTTCTGCTTGGGTCAATGATAAATAAAGCTTTTCAGTGATGTGATGTGTGTTTCATAGCTTAAAATTCTGTTTTGAAACAGCATCATAAATTTTACCACCCAGAAAATGTCCAGTGGTGCGACCACATATTATTCTGAAATTGTATATTTTATTCAATATT